CTAGTTGTTGGTTATATTGCAGATTCAAGGATTATGTTCCTCCGAAGTACCATTCTCTGTATGATCAGTATTTAAAAAGAAATCATGAAGTAGCTGGCCTATGAGTCATCCTACTTAAGTCTAAGTCATCCTTGAGAAAAATCCTTACTTGCTGCGACTAGGCATGCACACAGCCACAAAGTCAGTCAGTGAACAGTATGTTCATGCTGCCGATTAGGCAAAGGAAAAAAGAGAAGCTATGCTTGTGAAGGGTTTTGTGATACCATACTACAAGGAAAAACACCATCTCCCCTGCCATTTTTCTCAGGGGAGCTTTGTCATGGTCCGCTGGACCTTTGACAATGTGGTTCAAGCAGTGTACAGAATCTTAATGTGGATTGCCCTTTAGTTGTTGGGAGTTAACATCACGAACTGAGCAACAAGGCTTATAGTTTAGTGGTATTGATGAGAGTGTTCCACACAATTTGTGTGGGTTGGATTCTCATTGTCCTCCTTTCCATGTAATATAATTTTCTGAATGAAAAAATTACGAACTGGTGTACCCTCCATAGGCACCTGGTTTGGAGGCCACTTAATCCTCAAGAGGCGTGTAATTTGTGTAGAGGCCAAGTGGCCTAGTAAGTGGCTGCAAGTTATTTATTTATTTGACCCGTCCCTTTTTTCGACGGACGGGGAATTTCAACCATTCAAACGCTCATATCCCCCTTTTGCTCTTCATATTCGCGGGACTGGACTATATTTTTGGAAAGTGCATAGACAAGTTGCTCATGAATCAAAGGGTGAATGTCCGCTTGAAGTCTCATGTTCCTTTTGATCGCTGTGAATCGTCATGTTAATGGTTTCCATTTTATGGTCTTAATTGTGTATTGCATGGTTTAGTATCCCGTGTGGTTTTTGCTGATTCGTTTGTCTTGACATTCATTTGAAATTTTATGGGATTATCTTAATGTTTAGATATTATACGATTTGAGATTTATTGCAGTTCAAGCAAATGAATATCCGAGAGCGGTTGGCTTGTTTTCGATAAGTTATACTCCATAAAAATAAGAAAAGAGTTACTTCCAGGTTCTAGCGCCCCAACATACAAAAATAGAATCAATTAAAATAAAAGTAGAGCATAGCATAGACAAAGGGAATTCTAGATGTTCGCGAGACCTGGAAAGCTCGCGAATTAGCAAAGGATTTACCTTACGACAAAAGTCAAAAGTATCATTATATTTTGGATTTATATATACACAATATGTAATATATTTTTGTAGTGTTAGTGTAATTTAACTTGTTATAATATAGTATACTTACATATTATTTATTTTAAACTCTAAGTAGAGTTACTTGTAATTACCTTCTAAGTGATCCGCGTGTTTACACCGTTAGTACATGAAATAATTCTCATGATATCTCTAGACTCTAGGTCTTCTCACCAAAAACCTTCCTCGATTGACAGAACGTTGTTCGCTTCTTCTCCACCAAGCACGGAAGTTTAAGGATAACTGTAGGTCGACGGCTACCTAAGGAAATTCCGATTCGATCCACCCCGTTTGGGAGGATTCATGTATTTTAATATGGTGTGGCAAGTTACTTGACTTATTCTTTAAGTTACTAATTCCATTTATTAGGTGATACAATAGAATTTCTTTTTGTAGTGACAGTGTATAAAATTTAACCTAAACCCATGCATGAACAAAGGATTTAACTTCAATCTTAAATAAAGTGACACGATGAAAATAAATATATTGATATTTGCATGTGAAGCAACAAAAGGAACAATTTCTTGCGCTTCCCTCGTCAATACATTGATTACTAATTACTATAAATTAAACATGGAACTACTATCTTACGTTACGTTTTCCCCTGGTTTAATTCCCCACCCAATGATCTACCATTCCGTGATATCACCGGTACTCTGCCGGCGTTTTCACGCAAAACAACTATCAAATCCACAAACGCACTAAGTATATACTTATACGATTTCTTATCGTTCAAATTAAAATAACAAAACAATAGCTCTTCCATAAATTCCCAGTTGATTTTGCCTTGATCATTCAACCTTGCCTCCATCATCTCTTGCATCGATTGCCTGAAATCATCGTATGGACTCGGAGAATACGTTACGACTGTAATAAAATCGTCTGCATTCAGTGTTTCCTTTGAACCATCTGAGGTACTAATTGCCAATGAATCATTTGAAGTAGTATTTGTCGTAGCTGAGGTTGATCCAGTGTCGTCTGAAACTGTCATGCTTGTCCGAGCTTCTTCAATTAGGGAACTTGACGAACCACGTGCCACAAAAAATCGACGAGATCCGCTAATATTTGATGGAGGTACGACATATCTGTTGAAAATATGATTAAGTAATTAAAAATGCGTTTTTTCTGATAGACAGTTGAAGAAGGTACAAAAGCAGGTCATTCAAATTTCACTGTCACTTATTATTGAAAAGAATTTTCATGTTTCTGGCCTAAAAGAAAGAGCCAGAAAATTTGTTGAAAATATAATTACTAGAAGATATGCTTTATCTAATACTCTCTCCGGTCCATAATACATGACTTTGTAGAGTAATTCAATGATTACATTTTTTTTCTCTAGGAGTTAGTATTTTCTTAAGAATTATGTCAAAAGTTAAAAAGTCACTTATTATGGATTGGAGGAAATAGTAAAAGCTTTTAGATGCAAATGTATATACCTTGGGGACTCGAACAAAGATTTCGAAGCTCCTTCATTTTCTTCTTTGTTTGCAGCAATATTATCTTCTTTCTTGGCTTTGTTGTTGTTATTAGGTTTACTGCTAGTATTGGCTTCAACTTCACTATCGTCATCTTTGGAATAAAAGGATTTGAAGTTCTCAAAGAGGAAACGATCTATATCTGCAAGTGTAGCAGCGTCATCTTTGGCTTGTGCTTGCTTTTCTTTTTGATCAACGGCTGAGAATGACGGCGTTTTGGGGTGTCTACAGCCGCGGAGCAACCAGCTAGTGGAAGATGAGAGAGTCTTATTGGCGGAAGAATTAGAAGGTTGTGGGGTGGGTTTATGTTTGATTTTTGAGAGGTAATATGAAAGAGATTTTTGGAGTTGCTTAGGCATTATGTTAATGTCTCTATTTTTGCACTTTCTCTGCTTTGTGTGTAACTTAATTAATAGAAGCTAGATTTGTAAATATGAGGATGGGTTAGCTTGTGCTTTTATTTTTACAAGATAAATTAATAGGTTTAGGAACACTGAGTGCTGAAATCAATGGTTTGTCTAAAAAAAGGAAAAGGAATGAATAAATAAATGCCAAAGATGAAACGGTTTAAGGATATTTAATTGTTCTGATTAATGAAGTAATTAATGGATGGTTATTAATTACGAAGAAACGTACTCTATTAAGGTTTTGTCTTTGTTTATGTTCTTTTGGAGATGGTGGGGAAGATAAGTTTTACAGTGCATTAAATCTCAATTTTCTATTTTATTTAATTTCATTAAGTCCTACTATTCGACAAATACTAGTCAAGATTCTTTGAAATTATAAAGTATCTTTGAAATTGCTGAGTGTGTGTATTTTCTTTTATTCCAAAATTTTAGCTAATGAAATGCAAATACTCAAATATAATATAACATGATTACAAGTAACTTTAAACAAGAAAAAATAGATAGGTACAAGTAAAATTAGCTTTCACTTGATTTGTACCCGTTACCTCAAAGACCGTAGGGGTCGTTTGGTTGGAAAGAAGTTATCCCAAAATTAGTTATTTTACCTTTCTATGAGGACAAAAAATACTACAATCCTATTTCATGGGATAAACTCTTCTTAAATTTAGTTCTGGAATTAATTATTCCTTATCCCTCATACCAAACGTGCCCTTAGAGTTTCTGTTTTGCAAATTAAAAGAAACTTCCTTGGCATTTATGTATGCAGTAATTAACTAACAGGGACGAATAATCTTTGCTACACGGCATGTTCTCACATTAAATTAATTTGACTTCTTCTTTTGTCACTTACATTAACAAATCAGCGTTAATTAGTTGCGGATCATGAATATAGGGGAATATAAACTTTAAATTATTTAAATTGTTTGAGTTACTACCCTATTTTAGAAATGAGCAAATTAAGCCGCTATATATTACTAGTATGATAATATTTGGATGATGCACGAAAAACTAATTTGGTCAAAGAACATTCGGAAAAAGACTATTAAGTGAGAGATAGAAATGTGAATTGCTTAACATTGTGCTCTGATTTTAAGTAATTCTTATTTCATGAGCTAACTTTTACAATTGATTTTTTTTAAACCTCAATGGAGAAGCTCTAAATTCGTAAATACAAATTACTTAAGAATTATTTAATACAAGTAAAGCAAGGAGTTACAGGGTCGAAGTGAAAGAATAAAAAAATAAAAGAAGAAGAAGAGTTGCAAAAAGGACAGTCAAAGAAAGTAAAAAAGAAGAAGCTACACATTTATCCTCTAGTCAATATACATACATGAGTTAAACTTTTATATAATAACTTCATTTGTTCTAATATCTTTTAGTTGTTGTATTGAAGTATTTATAGAGAACATATATTATGACATAACATGAAATATTGATTTCAAAGAAAACTTGATTGTTATAGTGAAGTGTTATAAAGAAGTATTGTTATCGAGAGGTCTTACTGTATATTTACTACATTAATTATATACAGTATATACATTATCACGCTATTAATTTTAGGAACGGCTATACAATATAATTTTCCCAGTAAAAAACTTAAAGAAAAATTAACCCAAATAGCCACTACCCAACCACCAAATAGCCGGTGTAGGTATAATTATGTATTATATATGTATAATTAATGTATAATCTATATATATGTCCAAAAAAAGTAAAGAATATATGGCCGGCTATTTGTGTAAAGATCCCAAACTTAAAAGGCCGGATCACTTTCTTGGGCCCCCAACTTACAAAACATTTGAAAACGGCCCAATTTGAAACTAGCCTACACTGGTCTAAAAGGAGGTATAACCAGAGAACACGACACGAAGCAGAGAGAAACAACAATACACGTCAACAAACTTTTGTGTATTTTGTATTAAGGATTGAAGGAGCAGAGGCTATTGGGTTATCGAGATGAAGAAAAAGGTGGGTAGATTGTGGAAAAACAAGAAAGAAGGAAAAATATAATGGAGAAAGGTTCGGATGCCCTAGATCATTTATCACCTGGTAATTAACTCTCTTTTCACTCTGATCATAATTTGTTTTCATGAAAATTTGCTTATCTTTTGCTGAATTATAAAAAGATCATCTTTTTTTTTTTGGTATTTTTATGTTTGAATAGAGGTAATTTGGTGCAATTGTATCTCATGACATTGGTAATTAGAATTTAACTTTTCGTAATGACGTGTAATTGTAGGAGTTAGAACCCTTCATGTACATTCTCCAGTCTCAATCAAGAATTTATGCTTGCTTAAAAAGATAAAATTGGTTAATCATATCCAAGTCACTGCGCTTCTGTTTTATTTTTCATTTTTAAAAAAAAAAATTAATCTCATTCTCTCTGTAATGGGGAAACTATCGAAAATTCAAGATCAAGGAGTTTCTATACCTTTTTCTGATTAAGAAGCTTGCTGATTGTCCAACTTAGGCAAAATAAATGGTGGCTTCCCATGCTTAGGAGTTATCTCATTGCTCATTTTCGTGAAGCTTACCAAACGTTACCTTTCTAATTCAGAAGCGGTAACGGTGTAGAGTTTTTCATTACATTTTAATTGGAAGCTCGGGCTTTTATTTCAATTTCCAAATTGAAAAATAGTGGTGATTAAGTTCAATATATGTCTGTTTATTGGTGTGTGTTATTATGCTTAGCTACTTCAGTTTGAGCATCTTTAGCAAACGGTTGGTGATACTGCTTTATTCATTTGATTAGTAATTTGTGGTATTGTGTTGGTTTAATCATATCATCTTCTCTTTAATGAGCTCCGTTTCGCTTCTTAAACCACTACCTCGCTTCCTCTCCTACTTAAGTTCTTTCCATTAAGCGTGGGATTCATTTTTTAATACTCATGAATGGATGGATATTGAGTCTTGATTGGCTTTTATGGAGTGCCTTTATCTATAAAGGTTGGAGATACTATTTTGGTTCTTATATAATTTTTGGTTTGTCTATTCTGAAGCAACTTAGTTACAACTACTAAGAATTGCAGATGGAGAGGTACTGAGAGGTAGAAAGGGTTTTATCAGCGCATCCTACCTAAGCTTGGCCGAGCATCCTGTGTGTAATATAGCAGGATTCTAATTCATTATTCTCCTGTATTTGTTTCTTCATGTCACACGCGGTTCAAATACAATTTTGCACTGCTTTATATCAGGGTACAACTTGTCCTCATTAATTAAGTTCCTTGTTTTATTCTTGAAAATATAAAGGATTGCTGGAAAATAGTGAACTGTTTATTATCAACTTCAATTAAATATCTTAGTGTCGCCAAATTATTGCTAGGAGAAGATCTTATAGTTACAAGAAGAGTAGGATGTATGTTGAATAAATGATAGTCTTATCTAGTGGAATTTGTTGGTTTTGCAGCTAGCTTAGAAGGTGTGCAGGATTATGAGATGGAACAACTTTCTCAACCAAATAGTTCTGATTTAGGAGCAGGAGTGGAATCTCAAGTGCAAAATTCTGATGGAGAAGTCGAAGCTAAAGGGGCTACAGCTTCACATACTAAGAATGAAGTAGAATCATTGTTAATCAAGCCATCAGTAGCTAAAGCATCAGAAGATGCCGAGGTACTTCCAAGAAAACGCAACGGTTTCCTTCATTTATTTTCTCTTAGAGATATCAATTCTTGCATTTTGATCTCTGAGAATAAACGAGTCATTTGTTCTGTCATGATTTCGTTTTTAGTTGTTTTGTCTTATGCCCATCTCCCACATAGTATAGCAAGGTCAAATAGCGTCATTGCATCAAGGCCCCTTTATATACTGTTGCTAACTGATTTGACAATAGTGATTGCACGAATAATTCGCAAGGAAGTAGTTCCTGATGAAGAAAGGGTCGAAGACAGACAAGGTGTGAAGGATTTCGGACATAATTGGGATGGAGCTCTAACGATATTGGAATACGGTTTGGTTCTCTATCAGACAATTCGTGCACTCTTCATAGACTGCAGTTTCTATTTGGTCATTGTCATATGTGGTCTGTCTCTCATATAATTGTCTCTCATATGCTTTCCACAGAGCTAGTTTTGTTAATTCTTTTTAAGGTGGTGAAGGAGGAGTTCAAGAGAATTTGCTTTTTACCATTTATTCACTAACTTTTTGCTTGTATAATATGGCATGAGACCTCATGTTGTTTGTAGTTTGATCTGTTTTCTTTTACAAACTTGAGCATTTACCAAAACTATTCCTTCCTCTTTTTAACTTTTCCCTTGTACAAACAAAATCTGTGTTTCAGGACTTCCCCTGCATCATTGAATAATCATGTAACATACTAAAATATGCTCAACACAGGGGCGGCCCGACGGATTTTGTGGCCTAAAGCCAAACTTTATGAGGGGCCTTAATTTCTTTTTTTTTATTTATTTATTTGAAATCTATTTTTTAGCTTTTATTATTTATTTGAAATCTATTTTGTGGCCTAAAGCCAAATATATGCTGCGAATTGTTCAAATCTATTTTGAAGTGAAAAAATAGCTTTGCCTATTATGTATAAAAGTAATCAACTCTAAAGTACTCTTTGAAAGATTTTGAGATTTCATTATCAACAATCGCATCAATTTGTTATTTCCTATATATCACACGTTTCTTACGAGATTCAGGCTCGATATTCATTTCAAGTGCAATTTCCGTGGTAAAGAAATCAAACTTTTACACTTTATAAATAGTTTACCACCCAACCTTTGGCCCAAATCCCCCTTACACACTTTCTGTGGACGATAATAACCTTACACAAGAAACCTTTCTAAAGTGTATCTGGTACCCACCTCCTTTGACCAGATCCTGTTAAAAAGACATCCGTGTATGTCACGCGTTTGACTTTACTTAATTTTAACCCATTACCTTATAATAAATAACCCGACCCTACCCGAACCTAATTGACCCTACCCGACCCACAAGGTAAAAGGCGTTAAAACCAAACTTACCCAAGTCAGTACTCAAAATCCGATACATCTAGAAGGAGCTACTGTAAAGGCGATTCCGGCGACCATCTCAAGCTACGCTTTCATCGTGGGTTTCCGGTGGATTTATGCGGTTAATAGGTTAGTAATTTTCTTCTCCTTGCATTACCCGTTTATTTTAGTAGTGGGTGGGTTGAACCTAGGTTTTTTTTTGAAATTTCTTCTATTTTGCTTAGGGTTAAAAGACTTTTTAAAAGGGGAATCTTTTGTCATTGTCGATATCACTGTGAAGTTGTCATCTTGTTGCCTTTACAGATAGTTTTTTTATAAAAAAGATTTGTCTTGTGTTTGCAAATCGTGTGTAAAGTTAGGGTTTAACTGATTATTGTAATAGCATTGCTTTGAACAATGTGATATGCTCTTGTCTTTGTCTCCACTTTTGTATTTCATCTGTAGTTCTTTATTCCCTTCTTTATTTTCAATTGTTGCATGTGGAAAGTCCATTTATTTGTCCCTTATTTGTTTGCAGATAATGTCTTTTAAAATCAGCGTAACAATGCACCCAAACTCAATCTTTTGTCGAATGAAGTGACAATCTACTTCAATATGCTTCGTTCTTTCATGAAATATTGGATTTGAAGCGATATATAATATCAAAAATCAATTTCATCGGCTTGTCCCCTCCAATCTTTAACTCCCGTAGAAGTTCCCCTTTAGCCATATAAGCTTGCAAGTGGCCAATGCCATAGCCCGATATTCTGCCTCTGCGCTTGACCTAGCCACCATATCTTGCTTTTTACTTTTCCAGGATATTAGGTTGCCTCCAATTAAAATACAATAACCTGAAGTGGACCCTCTATCAGAGGGAGAACCTGCCCAATATGNGTTTATAGCAACAGTCTTAGAAGAAGAGGAAGATAGTGAATCTGAATCTGAATCTGCCCCTGCTCATGAACCTACCCCTTCCCCTTCCCCTTCCCCTTCTCCTTCTCCTGAACCTGCTCCTGCCCCTGCACTTTCAAGAGAACAAGAGAGTGGAGTAGATAGTGAATCAGACTTTGATAATAGTGAAGGTAAGGATGACAATGAGAATGATTCAGACTTTGACAATAGTGATAGTGATGAGAGTGATGGAGTAGATTTACATGTTCCTGATGATTTGGATTATGGATCTGATGTTCATGAAGAATTTGTAGAGTGTAGGGATGAACTGAGGAAGTATAGGAGGAAAAGGAGTGAAAGGCCAAAAGATAATGGTGATATTAACCTAGGTGATGCAGGAGTTGATATTGGTTTTGATGAATTAAGAACTGGTAGCAAGCAAGATAGGTACACAGGCTTAGTAGGGACAGACGAGCCTTACTTTGGGTCTTCAGATGCTGAAAGTTTTCCTTCAGATGCTGAAGATGAATTTGATGAAGAACATAAGGAGAAAATGGCTGCCAAGAGGAGGAAGAAAGCCCTGATATTTGATCCAACTGTCAAGAACATAACCTGGGAGTTGGGGCTGATTTTTAAGAGTGTTGAACAATTTAGGTTTGCTGTTAGTAAGTATGCAATTCAGAAAGGAGTTCAAATTGAAAAGTATATTAATGAACCTGGTAGGGTGAGGGTAAGATGCATGCATCCAAAATGTCCATGGATCTTGGCTGCAAGCAAAGATGGCAGATCCAACAATTTTAAGGTAAAAAGGTATTGTCCTGTCCACAAGTGTTACAAAACAAATAAAAACAAGCTTTGCAACTCCAGATACCTAGCAAAGCATTACAGGGATAAGATTGTGTGTCAACCAAATATGAAAGTTTGGGAGCTAAAGAAACTCATTAAGGATGAACTGGACATGTATGTTGGTAGGTCTACTCTACATAGAGCTAGAGCAAAAATTCTGAAGGAGATAATAGGTGATGTGCATGCTGAGTTCAAGAGACTCTATGATTATAGAGATATTCTGTTACAGACAAATCCAGGTAGAACTTGTGTTGTGAAGGTAGAAGATCAAGGTGAAGGCAAGCTTGTCTTCAATTCATTTTATGTTTGCTTCTATGCTATGAAAAAAGGATGGTCTGAAGGTTGCAGAAGGATAATTGGCCTTGATGGTTGTTTTCTGAAAGGCATCTGTAAGGATCAACTTCTTGTAGCAGTTTCAAAGGATGGAAATAATCAAATGTTTCCTATAGCTTGGGCCATTGTAGAGGTTGAGAACAGTTTCACTTGGACATGGTTTCTGAAGTGTGTGACTCATGACTTAGAGCTTCAAGATGGAAGGGATCTTACTATTATGTCTGATATGCAAAAGGTGAATACATTCTTCTGTTTCTGTTTTCTGTCAATATTTATTTTTTCTAATTTCTGTTTCTGTTGGCAACTAATTCAATTCTTTTTATGTTTAAGGGATTGCTTAAAGCTGTATCAGAAGTGTTGCCTGAAAGTGAACATAGGTGGTGTGCCAGACATATATTAGCAAACTGGTCCAAAGATTGGAGAGGATTAGAGAGGAGAAACAACTTCTGGAGGTGTGCTAGAGCATCATGTGTGGCAGAACTGAATTTTCACCTGGACAGTTTGAATATGCTTGGGAATGGGATATGTGAGAGCCTCTTGAGGTATAACAAGTAAACCTGGTGTAGAGCATACTTCAACTGTGATAGGAAATGTGATATAATTGACAACAATATGTGCGAGACATTTAATGCTTGGATACTTGCTGCTCGGCACAAGACAATTATCACAATGTTGGAGGAAATAGAGTGAAGATGATGGAGAGAATAGGAAAGTTGAGGGAGTTTCCTATTGGCAGCCATTTTCTCCTCTTGGCAGCCATTTTCTCTTGGCAGTCTGGTGGAGGTAAGCCAAGAGTGGTCTCTCATGGTGGTGAAAAGAGGTCCTCGGCAGATATTCTGGAATGGTGTAAAATGGAATGGTAGACCAACCATTACTAGAAGACAACTTGAAAGAACTGCTGCAACTCGTTCCAGAACTGGAGCATCTCAATCCAATTTAAGTCAAGCAAGTTCATCAGCCCAACCATCCAAGAACAACCACTGAATTCTGTTATTGTCACTGTTAGTTTATTTTGGAACTGCTGTAATTTTCCTTTGGAACTGCTGTTAGGTTAATTTGGAACTGCTATTTAGGTTTGCTGTTAGTGCTGTTATTTGTTAAGACAGCATGCTGTTATTTTGGTATGCTGTAAAATTGGGCAGCGTATATTTTTGTTAAGGCAGGCTGCTGCTATTAGGCGACTGTAATGAACACCTTTACTCTATGATGAAATATATGAAAGTGTTGTTTGATAATTTCTGGGCAGATGTGTCTTTAGTGTTGTATGAATGCTGTTATTTTGGTATGTCGTTAAGCATTTGTGCTGTCATTTTGGTATGTTGTTATTTCTGGAAAATTTCAGCATTTGAGCTGAATATCAGCCACTATTTGACTGTGTTTCAGTGTTTTATCAGTAACAATTTGAGGTGTGTTTTAACTGCACTATCAGCTCACACAGCAACAAAGTCAAACGAAACAACATTAACAATTTCCAAAAAAAAGCATTCAACTCACACAACAACAAACTCAAACAAAACAACATTAACAATTGCCAAAAGATTTCATTCATTTCTAACAAAGGGATACAAAATCTACCAAAAAACTTCATTCATTTTCTTACATTATATAACAATCTTTAGAACTACCTAACACAATCAACTTCAACACAATTGTAATTAAAATCAGCACACACAATCTCCTCCAATTTCTTTGGTTTCTATTTTCCTTCAACATTGCATCAAATGCCCTCTTCTTCTTCAGTAGCCCCAAAATCACCACTTTCAAGTGCTCTGGAGTTGGGGGGTCAAACCACATAAAGAAATTACATGCTGATCGACTGTCCCTCTGAAAAATTGAAGAGAAAAAAATTATTACAGACTATAAAATCGATTATAAAAGTACAATTGATATTTACCTCATAAAATGGACATCCGTAAAATCGACGACCCGGATTATCAACACTCCATGACTGTATTACCACAGCTTCTTCACCACAATAGCAAAATTTTCTCAGATTATGCATTTTCCCAAACCCTAGAAATTTAACCCTTATGTCAAGAAGAGAAGGAAGAAATAGAAGAAGATTGTAATATTGGCTTCGAGCTTCAAGAAGAGGAATACATTTTGGCTTCAAGAAGATAAAATTTTCCTCAATTTAGAGCTTTCAAAGAGGAAGAAGAAGATGAAAATCGGGTCCTAGTATAAATAGAAATGGGTTAAGGCCCTTTTAATCTTTTAAAAAGGGTCCTTGGAATGTGTTTTTGACCGTTTATTAAAGATAGAAGTTGTCTTGAAATACTGTCCACGCGCTTGGTTCAGTTTGTATTACACACGCTTAGACCTGGTCAAAGGAGGTGTGTACTAGGCACATGTAACGACCCGGCCGGTCGTTTTTGGAATTTACGCCCCGATCCCCCATTAACTGCTTTCCCTAAGTTCATTTCTGCTATTTTGGTTTGCCGGGACGTTCGGTGTTGGGATTTGGAGTGTTTTGGGACACTTAGTCCCTAAATGAGAGCTTAAGAGTTGAAAAATGGTCCGTAATCGGAACAGTGTGAAGACGACCTCGGAATGGAAATCCGATGGTTCCGTTAGCTCCGTTAGGTTATTTTGGGGTTGGGAGCGTGTTCGGAATGTATTTTGGAGGCTCGTAGCTCATTTAGGCTTGAAATGCCGAAGTTTGAATTTTTGAAGTTTCCGGTCCGATAGTGAGTTTTTGATCCGAGGGTCGGATTGGAATTCCGGAAGTTGCAGTAGCTCCGTCATGTCATTTGGGATGTGTGTGCAAAATTTCAGGTCATTCGGGCGAGGTTTGGTTAGGTTTTTGATCGAAAGTGTGTTTTGTTGGAATTTGAAGTTCTTAGGCTTGAATCTTTGATTTAATCGGACTTCCGGTGTTGTTTTAGATGTTTTAAGGATTGGTACAAGTTCGAATAAGGTATTAGGTGGTATTGGTGGAACTTTGCTAACCAACTCTTCTAAGGTAAACATTTTTCCATGTGATTTCAGTTTATTGGTTATTATAGTGAACCTAGTCATCATATCTTGGATGGGATCAGACTCCTTCGTGGAGAAAAGCTCATAGTTCCTCATAAGTAGCTCAATCTATGATCTCTTCACCTAGTTTGTTCCTTCATGAGCAGTCTGGAGTGCATCTCGTATCTGCTTTGCACTAGAGCACACAAAANCAGGGGTACTCAGTTTACATCGCGGTTCTGGAGAGCCGTGCAGCAGGAGCTAGGCACTCGGGTGGAGTTGAGCACAGCATTTCACCCCCAGACGGACGGACAGTCCGATCGCACTATCCAGATTCTTGAGGATATGCTCCGTGCATGTGTGATTGAGTTCGGAGGATCTTGGGATCATTTCTTGCCACTGGCAGAGTTTGCTTACAATAACAGCTATCAGTCCAGCATTCAGATGGCGCCGTATGAGGCTTTAAATGGTAGGAGGTGCAAATCTCCGGTGGGCTGGTTTGAGCCGGGCGAGGCCAGGCTATTGGGCACAGAGATGGTTCAGGATGCATTGGAGAAGGTTAAGGTGATTCAGGATAGACTCCGTACAGCCCAGTCCAAGCAGAAGAGTTACGCGGACAGGAAGGTTCGTAATGTTTCATACATGGTTGGTGAGCGGGTTCTGCTTCGGGTCTCGCCTATGAAAGGCGTCATGCGGTTTGGGAAGAAAGGAAAGTTGAGTCCGAGGTTTATTGGCCCTTTTGAGATCTTGAGGCGAGTTGGGGAGGTTGCCTATGAGCTTGCCTTACCTCCCAGTTTGGTCGGAGTTCATCCGGTATTTCATGTTTCGATGCTCCGAAGATATCACGGTGATCCGTCGCATGTGTCGGATTTCAGTTCAGTCCAGCTGGACAAGGATCTATCCTATGTTGAGGAGCCAGTGGCTATTTTGGACATTCAGATTAGGAAGTTGAGGTCAAAGAACATCGCTTCAGTGAAGGTTAAGTGGCGAGGTCAGCCGGCCGAGGAGGCGACTTTGGAGACCGAACAGGATATGCGCAGCCAGTACCCTCATCTTTTCTCTACCTCAGGTATGTTCTCTATGCTCATTCGAGGACGAACAAATGTTTAAGTGTAGGAGGATGTAACGACCCGGCCTGTCATTTTTGGAATTTACGCCCCGATCCCCCATTAACTGCTTCCCCTAAGTTCATTTCTACTATTTTGGTTTGCCGAGACGTTCGTTGTTGGGATTCAGAGTGTTTTGGGACACTTAGTCCCTAAATGAGAGCTTAAGAGTTGAAAAATGGTCCGTAATCGAAACAGTGTGAAGACGACCTCGGAATGGAAATTTGATGGTTCCGTTAGCTCCGTTAGGTGATTTCGGGGTTGGGAGCGTGTTCGGAATGTATTTTGGAGGCTCATAGCTCATTTAGGCTTGAAATGCCGAAGTTTGAATTTTTGAAGTTTCCGGTCCGATAGTGAGTTTTTGATCCGAGGGTTGGATTGGAATTCCGGAAGTTGCAGTAGCTCCGTCATGTCATTTGGGATGTGTGTGCAAAATTTCAGGTCATTCGGGCGAGGTTTGGTTAGGTTTTTGATCGAAAGTGTGTTTTGTTGGAATTTGAAGTTCTTAGGCTTGAATCTTTGATTTAATCGGACTTCCGGTGTTGTTTTAGGTGTTTTATGGATTGGTACAAGTTCGAATAAGGTATTAGGTGGTATTGGTGCTTTTGGTTGAGGTCCCGGGGACCTCAGGATGATTTCGGGTGGTTAACGGCAAAATTTGAGAAGTGCTGCAGCAGCTGAAGTTTTTCCCTTCTGGTATTTTCGCTTCTGCGGCTTGGGAACCGCAGAAGCGGAGCCGCAGAAGCGGTCTTAGCATCGCAGGAGCGAATTTGGGCTCCCTCAGCTTTTTCCGCAGGTGCGGAGGATCTATCGCAGATGCGGTTACGCACCTGCGAGGCTTCTATCGCAGATGCGGCCCTGAGTCTTTTGTGAGAAACCGCAGAAGCGGTAAGTATTTCGCAGAAGCGGCAACCGCAGGTGCGGTTTAAGACCGCAGAAGCGGAACCCTGGATTTTTAATGAAAACCGCAGAAGCGGCTCGTGGTCCGCAGAAGCGGGACCGCAGAAGCGGTCCCTTGTCCGCAGAAGCGGAAATGGCTGTTCAGAAATATCAATTTCGAGGGTTAAATTTCATAAGTTTGAAAATCGATTGAGAGCTCGGGAGAAGGCGATTTTGAGTGGGTTTTGAAGAGAAAATCATTGGGTAACGTTTCCTTGATCCCTTTTCATTATATTTCATCATTATATAGCTAAATACATCATTGGAATTCGAATTTAGGATCAAAAGTTGGTTAATTTGGGGTAAAACTTCATTACCTAAACTATTGAGTTTTGAGTGGGCATTTGACCTCCGATTTGGGAGATTTTTATATGGTTAGACTTGTGAGAGTACGAGGGTTCTGAAAATGTGAAAATTATTCGATTCTGAGACGTTGGCTGGAGGGCGTTTTGGTCATTTTACCTATTTTTGCGCCCTAGCTGTAAATTTATTAGCGGAATCAGTTGTTTGCAATATTATTTACAATGTGTAATTGAATTGAATGGATTTGGGCTATTTGGTGTCGGATACTCGTGGCAAGAGCGTGGTTTCTAGTTGATATTGAGCCGGTTCGAGGTAAGTGGCTTGTCTAACCTTGTGTGGGGGACATTTCCCATTAGGATATTGTTATTTGGTATTTTGAGTGCCTTGCACGCGAGGTGACGAGCGCGTACTTGAGCCAATTGTTGAAAATCCGGTTTTACTTAAGATATTGCGATTGAGTTTCTTTTATATTTGCTTTATTCTACTTGCAACTATACCCTGTGCTAGATTAGGAGAGCATGTTTAGTTGTTTTAACTTGCCTACTTGCTTAAGTTGCCTTGACTGTACTACATGAAGCATGTTAGGCTAGTACTACCCGTTGCTTGTCTTTGTACTTCATTTCTGTGTATCTTCTGGTTGTGATTGCGCATTTACATTGGGACTACGGATGTGGGATTCCGGTAGCTCCCCCCCCTTGTTTGTTTACTTTGGGACTACGGGTTCGATTCCCGGCAGATCCCCCTGCACTTTTACTTTGGGACTGTGGGTTAGATTCCCGATAGATCCCCCTGCACATTGATAGTTGGACTACGGGATGGTATCCCGGGAGATCTTTCGGATATACACATATGATGGACTACGGGACGGTATCCCGGGAGATCCACTGGACAGTTGAGAAAAGGACTACAGGACGGAATCCTGGGAGATCCTCATTGTTACTATTGGTATTGAGCTGTACTTATTCTGTGGTTGTTCCGTTCTTGTGCTTTTGCTATTGCCTTGTTTAACCTGTCTTATTTCACTGCTGTATTTATTATTTCTGTCAGATTATCATACTGTTAATTATTGTTATTACTATATTTTGTCTCAGTATGGCCCCGACCTTCCTCGTTACTACCCAACCGAGATTAGGTTTGGCACTTACTGAGTACCGCTGTGGTGTACTCATGCCCTTCCTGCGCATGTTTTTCATGTGCAGATCATCCAGGTACCTCTACTCAGGTGCACTATCAGTGAGGCAGGAGGACTACGGAGACTTCGAGGTAGATCTGCTGTGTCCGCAGACCGACGAGTCTCCCTCTTATTCTATCTTTAGTACTTAGTTTTCCTTCTTTCGGTTGTTAGAAATTCTGGAGTTTGGAACCTTTACTATACACTTCTGTAGCCTGTGTTGCCCGTGAGTTTCCGGGTTTTGGGAATTGTTTTAGACTTGTGATATTGAGTTGTACTTGCCAAACGGCATTCAGTACAGTTTCCTTTAGATATTTGATTTGATTTTCTCTATATTTCCGCAATTACTATATTTCCGCAATGTTAGGCTTACCTGGTCATGGGGACCAGGTGCCGTCATGACATGTTCACGGTTGGTGAACTAGGGTCGTGACAGCACACTTTAGAAAGGTTGCGCGTGTAAGGTTATTACGGTCCACAGAAAGTGTGTAAGCGGGATTTGGGCCATAGATTGGGTGGCAACTTATGTAATTTCCCTAGAACTTTTTTAAAAAGTTATACATAGTTTAATAGGTGTAACAAAAAATGGGGCCTCCAAAAATATGGGGCCTAAAGCGGCTGCTTTACTTGCTTTATGGAGAGGCCGCCCCTGGCTTAACACAAGCCTTTTCTCGTTTTTACTTTGTGTATTCATATTTGAATAATTTATATAGGTGGCCAAGCCCAGACCCCACCTGTTGGGAATATACTGTGTCTGTTTTTGTTGTTGCATATAGGTGGCCGAGGTCTTTGTTGTGTTATTACTCATTTAATATTCAATCAAATGAGCATCTTGCATTCGCGATAGTAACTGTATACGACATATTTGAGGC